GTTCTAATTCTCCTCTAATTTTAATCTTTTAGTAATTATTTGAGGCCAATATTTAATATGATATTTACGGCCTTGCATACTTTGAGCAATGATGATGAAACAGCAGTGCAGTTTCCATGTGTTATCCAAATAGACATTCCTCCAACTGCACATCAGTGTGTGAGCAATCTCCCTATCACGAAGCATGTTCTGTGTATCACTAAGTCATCTACTTAATATATTTTTTATAGCAGAGACATTTCTAGTACTCCTGTTGCCATTGTATCTAAACACCAGTTAAAAAGCTGTGAACCTAACCTTGCACCCAATTGTTAGCAGACATAGAGCTTATTATCCTTCAATGGGACAGCTCATGGGAATAAACCTTATTACCAGGAGCTACTTTTGGTAGGATTAGGCCCTAATTTAACATTCACTTTATTCAAAGGGATATAAAAATCAGACTTTTTGTGATCTCTAGTTGTTGTGTTTATTCATATCAGTGTAACATAGGTTGAAAAATAAGATTGTATTTAACAAGGTAGCCATCATTGTAAACATACAGGACTCGGTCTGAGGGGTTATAGTTGATACTTTGAATTGTTTCTAACATTTTATCCATAATTATGCTAATTTTACCTTCCTGTTCAGTGTTTGTGTCGTATGTGTAAAATATTTCCTCTTTCCTAGTGTTGACAGGTCTTGTGGCATATAGAACACCACAGATGATAAAAGCGTTGGAAATGGATGGCTTGTACTGCCTTGTATTCCAAGTATGGAGCACATCAAGTGTGGTCTCATTGAGTCTGCTAATCATAATGTTACCTGTGTTGTCCTCGGTTGAATAAATTACCCACAATCCACTTTCATCCACAACAAAGTCCATATCTTGCCACCCAACACCAGCATAAGAGAAACGGTTACCATAAGCAGCATTTGGCAGAGTTTTCCCCACAGCCAATGTGTTTGTGTTTAAATCGAGCTTGCCCATATCTCTTGAATTATATACATTGTAATACATGAAGTTATTGTAAACTGCGGTGCCACTGCCTTCCCTATATTGAACTTTTAACTCTTGAGCATTTTTAATAGCAGCAAATCATCATAGGAATTATGAAGTTTGTAATATTCTAAGAGTCTCCCATCTGTGTTCAAAGGTGCAACCCAGTATAGGTCCTTCTGCGGGGTCCGAAGAGAGGAATCCCTACACCAGGAACCATCTTTGAAGGAAAATCCTCTCCCGTTCAGCTGTACAACATAGGGCTGGCTGATATTCACAAGCCCACCATGAACACAGCTGCATGTAAGCAAAGAGAAAATGCAGGCTTTTCAACGGGCATGATTAGGAGAGAGGATTTAGTGTGTGTGCTTTATAAGAATCAGCTTTGTTGCAAGAACAGAAATACATACATGTCTTTGACAAAGATTTTCCTTGCACCATGTAAACAGCACATGGATTTCAGTTCTGTAGCTGTTCCAGTCTGACTGAACTACAGGGGTCATCCCACTAGAACTGGGGTCATACTGAAAAAAACAGCCAACAGCCAACAATCCAGCAACACATTTTAGAGATCTTAGTTTTTAGTCAGTACTCACTTGCAGTAAATAAGTGATTAGCTTCTGTTTCAGACAAGTGACCAGTTTTCTGTTTCCACCTAGTCTATGCTTTGCACCCCGCTGGGCTGGGAAATCACATAGAAAATACCATTTCAGAAGCATTTTAGGTCATTTGCTCCTGCAGTGGAGCACAGTTCTGGAAATATGGGAAGCAAGAAGGAACATCTTGTCTCACTGAACCGCAGTGAGTTTTGGAAGGTGGAGGGAGAATTAGCAGCACTAGTTCTAGAGGCTCATTTCAGGTTAGCATGTTACTGTCAAAATCACCACTTGAAAACAATACTTCGAGAGCTTCCATCTGAGGCTCTCAAAGCAATTCAGATATTAATGAGCATAGCCTTACAACAGGTCTCTAAGGTGGAGGTAAATATCCCCAGTTTACATGCAAGGTAACTATAAAGTGACCATACAACCTATTTCAAGCAGGATAGTCTTGGTTTTTCTTATGATGTCCCAAGAGCTTCAGGATAATTGAAATATCCTGGTTTTTTTCATTTCATCAGCCAAAATATTTGGTTTTTTTTATAGCTACACAATGCTTGTTCAAGATGTATTGCTATGCTGAGTAGAATTTGCACTGTTTACTGAGAACAAACAGCCCAGTGGAATGAGCTTTCAGGGTAATGAACAATGTCTGGAATGAAGAGAACTTAATGAAAGTAAACGCTATCAAAGCTGTTCCTTTGCTCAAAGCGACTGTCGATGACACTTGTTCAATGTTTCACAATGAATACAGAACACTAAAGTATTGGAAAAAGTCCTCCATTCCAAAATATGCAGGTCTCCCTGGGTCAGAAGCTGGCAGTGGTGACACCAGCACACTTAAAAATAAAAGTATCCTTTTGTCTGACTCTTTGCAGCCCTGAAAGGTGTCACCATGAACATGTGCCAGTTTTTCCCCCTTTAAAAGCATGGTCATCGGAGACACAGATGCTAAGCAACCTGCACAGTCACACAGCAAGTGAATGGCAGTGCCAAGACTAGAACCCACATTTCCTAACTCAAAGTCAGGTGCTTTAACCACTAGACAATGCTCCCTCTTAGAGGTGAAGGAAAGTTTACCTGTGAAGACCTGAGTTTCATGTTGCTATTAATTGATTAATATAGGGGCCTTGCGATTAAAATGATGTAAAATATGTTCAGAACAGTTCCTTATTTTGTGAA